AGCTAATACATGTTATAATATAACCATATTGCTTAGAAATATGATGATACTTATAGCAAAAAACTCTTTAGAGTTTGTTAGCTAATCTACTTATATGATATAAACATAGTACTAAGCTTAAGATATGAATAAGCTTAAGCTACCTATATAATAGCAAAACTCCTTAGAGTTTGTTAGCCAATATATTTTAATAATATGAGTATAGTACTATGCTTAAGGTATAATTAGCTTAAGTTACCTATATAATAGTAAAACTCCGTAGAGTTTGTTAGCTTAATTAACTTAAGCTATGTATAAAATAGCCAAAAACTCTGTAGAGTTTGTTAGCTAATGCATTTATCATGTAACCATAGTATTACTCTTAAGATATGAATAACTTAAGGTAAATATATATAATAACAAACTCTGTAGAGTTGTTAACTTATATATTGTATGATGTAATAATCATAGTACTGTGATGATAAAAGGAACTTAAGTAAATTATACATAGCATGAAGCTATTTAGTATTGTTATAAGATAAGTAAAAATCTGTTAGATTGACTTATCTTCTCCGAGGAACTGTCAGCTGTTGTGCGAGGACCATGGGATCGAATTGGTGTATACCTGAGACGTCCTCGGTGGTGATATCTCTCAGATAATGGTTTGCAACCACCATATCGGATTTCCAGAAATAACCCTCCATTATTTCAATCACATTTGTGTAGAACAATTGTAGAAGTTAGCGCTATAATATCATGAGTATTAAGCTCATGGAGGGTCGGAATAGGTCCATCCGCATATGCACGTAGTATGACAGTTCTGATCCAAATGGAGATATAGTACATGAGACTTCACTCTGCGTAAGTTGATGATAGAGGAAATAATCTGTTGCATTTTTTCCTCCTGTTTGGTTTGGTGGAGATAAATTTACAGTGCTCTTGCTGGCCAACTTGATAGAATCATCGTATCATGGGGTCCAAGTATGTCATCCAGGCGTGTTCATAAACCTCACTTGTGAGGTGTTGGAGCACTATATTCATATCCCCAGGTTGGGCGTGAAATTTCCGTTTTATTCTCCAAACAGAAGTTTAGTAGGTTTACTAACCATCTAGTTGTGTTAGTCGCTTGATGAAATTCAGCTGTAGTCTGAAACGCTGTGGATTTAGATCCACTTGTATCTTCGTCTAGGTAATTCGCTGCGAAGTCCTTGACGATGTAGGTGCACAACCAGGTGTGTCTGTCCTCGTTGAACTTTATGTAAAATCGCCTGACTGCCGATCCCTCGTCTTAACTTGACAGGGGAGGTCTCTAACTTGAAGAAAGGCAGTCTAATCATGAATGTTCAGGTTAACTGGACTGTAATGAGGCTTGCTCGTTCACTGATATATAGTTGTCACTTGTGACGTAAGTCTTGAACTGTGAATTGAGATCGACCTCTGTGTAGGTCGTTGTCCCTCGCGGTCCAATCAGAACAAGGCATTTTGATTCTGTATAATACCCGCGCTGTGATGTCACCGGTGTAGCGGGAAAAAACCCACCTTGAATAAATTCTTGTCGTCGTTGATATTAGCATAAACGTCGGTCTTCACCGTAGCTTCCCGAAGTTATCCGAGTGACCACGTGTTTCGAGGGTTAATGGTAATCGCGCGAAAACCTCCGGCGCGAAATATCTCGCTCTGTAATTTTATGCTGGGTAGGTTATTTTCCTGGTTGTCGTGAAAGTAATTTCAGTTTTGAATATAATTCCGACTTCCTTATATATAAGGGTATAAACAACTTGCAAGTTGTGAGCTTGTAGACTGTATACATGAATGTATCGTCATAATTGTAGAATTAACGTTGAACTTGTTGTACATATTTCTTCTCAGAAACTTTGACGATTAAGAGTTATACTCGCTGTAACAAGGCTGCTGTTCAATTTTGATATTGAATTGTCTGCAGATATGCGTAATGGTCACGCATGTAGATAATCGTATCGTCGTCCGGGATTGTATATTAGCAATTTATACGGAATAGTTGATTTCTGTGAAGATCTATGAAATGTCGTTGACTATTAATACAGCGACGTTCTGTGTTGTAAATAGCCTGAGCAATTATCTTCGCGTAGGCTTATAGACGGCATCTGGCATACAGTTGATAATCAACTTATGCGACGTCTTGAACGGACTGACGAGTAGCTATATATGACGAGTGGCTAGTATATGGAAACCTTGGAGGAGACTTCCTCGGTGAACGCCGGAGACTTCGCGAAGTTCTCGAAGTATCCCTTCTAGATCTTCTGGGTGAAGTAGACTTGGAGCCACTTAGCCTTCGCGACCATCGCGAAGGTGTCGAGTCAAAGCCCGATTAGTATATATATATATATATAAATATATATATGAGCGCTTGCTTCGTGAACAGCCTCTGTGTTTAACAGGATGTGGGATCGGCGAAGCGCTTGCCTAAGTAGGGCCGCATGGATCATCTTATCATATTCAGAAGTCGTGTTACGAAGTCTGGTGATAAGTGTCTAATTGATCGTTCTAGATCTATTTAGGCCAGCGAACATACGTCTCGTCATGGATTCAACAGAACCAATATACGATTGTAGTTCTTATACTTGATATCGATGATCAACTTGTCTATGGGTTGATCTTCTCGGAGACTTGTGAGGGGAACGTTGATAGTTTCGCGAAGCTCTTGTATAGTCCCTCGATGTCCTTCTAGATGATGATGATCTGGATTCAGGTGTCCTTCGCGCATGCCTTCGCGAAGCTTCCTCTGCGTCCGGTCCGGGGGAACGACGATATGACCTTCGCGAAGGCTTCCGTGATGTCTGATGGTCCGAGTCCACATCTAGGGATGAAACCGCATAAGGTGATGATCTATCCTGCCGCGAAGTCCTTCGCCGGCGGGCTGTATTTTATCTAGGTTCTTTCGCCTTCCGCCAAGGCTGTACATCTAGGTCCTTTCCGCCTTCGCGAAGGCCTTCGAAGGCTGTACATCTAGGTCCTTCGTCAAGTTGGTCCGTGACTTCCTTCGCGAAGGTGACATCGTCCTGGCTGCTACGTTGACGGGGGGTGCCTCTGGGGTGCTGTCTACGTTGGAGCCTTCGCGAAGGCTCGGACCCTGCTACCGCAGATATAGTGGTCCTCCATGATGTTCATGGTCTGCGACGAGGTCGTCGGTGCTTTATCTGCGGTGTTAATGGAGGGGTCCACCGGAAAATCGTCCGACATCAGTGTAGAGGCATCAGGCTGCATGGTGATCTCTGCTGATGTCGTTGTAGCTGTCACCGGTCGTTTCTTGTGGCGTACGTCGGGGATGATGATCAGCTGATCATCGTAGAGGTCCAGGTCATCGGCTGGAACAATCTCGGTTGAGAAAGTCCTAGTAGACTTCGTTGATTTTCCCTCAGAGGTCGACGCTGCCCTGGGTGTGCGACGTCTGCGTTGAGTGTTGGTAATGATGGGACCCTCAGGACGATCATCGCATATCTGCGTTGGTACATCAGGCTGCATGCTGATCTGAGCCGACATCGGTCAATCTTTGATGTACTGGTAGAAAAACCCTCTAGTCTTCTGCTGCGACGATGGGATGTCTGGGGAAGCAGGATGCTTGGAGATGGCGGACTTCGCCCCACACCTCTCCACCACTCTAGCGAACACCACACGGGAGGGGAGTCGGCCAACAGCAGTAGACTGGCGAGGGGTTCCGTGTATCAGTCATACTAGACTCTGCATACGCGACCTATCTGCTGTGCGTGCCAAACGCAAAGTAAATATTAATAAAAAGGTAGAATTGGATAAATTAGTACCGCCAACTGCAATGTGAATATAATAAACATGGGCCGTTACATCATATTAAAGGCGGATCAGCAGCAGCATAAAAACGTAATCTGCAATAGTACAGAATTTTCATCAACGTAATCCACTGAAACAAACACGCGGCCCCCGTGAATAAACTGTAGAAAAGCGACTAAATATCAATATATAATCGTTGAAGGATACTAGCTAAACCTCTATAGATGTCTATACGAGGTAACTAACTAAATATATTTCAAAAGGATATAGTGTGTCGGGAGACACAGGCGCTCTCACGTCCAGCTCACTGGGCGAAGAAGGAGAGAGTGTGGCACATGGGTAGAGGTGACGCCCTCGTTCCCGCGTTTGTGAAAAGGAGGTAACTCGTGGTGAATACTAATTAGTGATTTTAAATTGAAGGGAGCTTCAATTAGGGAGATACAAGTGTTCCACTATGTTCGCAAGAAGAAGAAGACAAGCAAAAAGAGCATGAGTCAGGATAAGGAAAAATATATTGTTTTCACGAATGAAAAAGAAGATCACGTGATGCCTTCATATAACAAAATCACTGAGTGGTTGATTTTAAAAGGTGATTTATCAAACAGTTTCACACGTAAGATGTAAGTTTTCTATTTCTTGTTCATTTAAAGTACAGTCAGTCCGCGTTAATCCGAACACTTTCTGTTTTTCATCAAAAACGTTTGGATAGTGAAACGTACAGACTACTGAAACAAACCATTATGTACGTCACTACAGTAGAGTTACTGCCCTTTGACATACCGAGACAAGACTATAAGAATGTATATATGTCCATGTATCAAATGACTTCATTACAGTTTGTATAACAATCAAAACTCTGAAACCTATGAAAATCAGCGCTAATCAATGGTGCTCACGAGGTAAGTGGATTATCCGAACCTTTTGGATGTACCGCCGGATTAATGAAGCAAAACCAAGTGTAATTAGCTAATCCGTTACCGCTAATTAACGTCCGGATCAGGAGAGTGAAGCATTGGATTAATGAATCAACAATTAATGAGTTTACATAGTTAACAAGATTGGTTACAGCTAGCTACTGTTCGTATATCTCGTGAATCGGATTATCGGGGTCCGGACTAACGAGGCCTACTGTACTTATCAGATTTCGTCTGTGTTCAAATTCAGAATCACTGGAGCAAAGTGTATGTAGGATAAAACAGAATACCGATAGCTTGAAACAGTGAGATGTGGGAGCTCACCTTGTCTTCCCAATGTGGATGGATGTCTGATAGGAAAGACACATACTCCATCATGGCTTTCTTGCGACTCATCGTCCCCAGCTTCTTCCATGCCTCCCTTGAGTAAAAGAGTTCAGTTTGTTGCATGACTAGCAAATAACGTATATCTCCATGGCAATGTTGGTGAGTGCTAACAACCAAACTGAGATGAATAGTTACATAGTAAGTAAAGGAACTCTGATCTCAGACAGTTTGCTGGTACTGGTTGTTGCTTTTGTTTTGTTTTTTCCTGTACATACCAAGATGATATCCCATAAATATTGTGCACTTCAATATCAAACATCGGTAGATAATGGCTAAGTACGGTAACAGCTCTTTATACTAACCTCACCAGTCTCTACTAATCCTTCGGAAAAGTAGTTATGCAAGTTAATTCAGATTAGTTAGTTTAATTAGTTCACATATAGCATGGTCTTAGCCTACATGATAAGTACATTATTTATTTTGTTGACAAGTTATTCTTGTGTAGTTTATGCGCTAAACTTAGATTAGTTTAGTTGAATCCATCAGTTGTAGAGTTTTGTATCAAGTTTTATACTGGTACACTCAAGTATTAACTTTGTTCATTTCTGAGTAAGTATGTAATTTCCTGACCTCCTTCACATGACTGACTGACTGAGTTTGGTTTTACGCCGCTTTTAGCAATATTCCAGCAACATCACGGCGGGGGACACCAGAAATGGGCTTCATACATTGTGCCCATGTGGGGATTCGAACCCGGGTCTTCGGCGTGACGAGCCAACACTTTAACCATTAGGCTACCCCACTGCCCCTCCTTCATATGAAATAGTGGTTAGCAATACACAGGTTCATTATGAACAGACAGACAATAGATCCCATGTCCACACACCCCAACCACCTCTTTCGTTACTGGGTCCCTGGAGGAACAGGTCCCAGCACCCCAGAATGTGTATAGAGGAACAAAACAAGTTGTGTGTCTACTTTGTCAGTGGTCGCCAATATGGCTGTCTTAGGGTCATGATTACTGGCTGGTTAGCTGCTGGGCCAGCACTAGTGGGCCGAAGCAGTGAGTATGTCCCCTCTAAGTCAAACACAGAGAGACATTGTGGAGGTAATGCCTATAGAAGACAGTTGTGGACCTCCAAAAATCTCCATGATAGGTCGAACATAGATGTTCTCCTGGAGGGCCATTGTTGTCAGATCTCGTGTGGGTTGTTGGGTGCTAGAGCTGGCAGGGCAACCTCAAAGCTGGTTAAACAGACACTGTTTACGACATTTGATGGGATCGGCCAGCACTCAAGATAAGGGCACAACACAACTGAATAGCAGACTTTGTTGAGGCTACTGCTGAAGGATAGACAGAGTCACGAAGTGATGAACAGAGTCCACAGTTGAAGAAGGTGCCTCAGTTGAGTATCTGTCGTGGGAACTGAAGACTGACTGACTACCCCACCGCCCGGGGAACTGAACAGTCCCCACATCCCCACACATCCTCAGGAATGGGAGGATGGGCATCTGCAAAGTCAAATGGAAGGGCTGAGTATCCTCCCTAAACTTTGGGAGATCAATGGAGGAGAGAGCCAGCAGATCTGCAAAAGCACCATCCAAAGATTGGAATATGTCAACAATCAACAGATCATGAGAAAGAAGGGAAATCTCTTGGATATGATTCTGTATTGTCTCCAATAATGTTACTGACTCCTCCAATGATGACATCAGTGCCTTCCTTGAAGCTGACACAATTATGTCTGGTTTCTGCCCCTCACAGACCACTGACAGACTTTTCAGGACCATCAACACACAACATTTGACGGATTGCCATGAATATGTATGAATAAATATTTTATAGAAGTCCTTTTATAGGTTGGCATGCTGCTAAACTTGCAGGGTCATTCCTTTAAGCGGATGAGCAGAAAGAAAGTAAATGGATAGATAGAAGAATTGGGACAAGGTGCCATGCCATAAGCTTACTTGGAGTCACTTTGATATTATAATCTTGTTCCACATCAGTTGCAGAAGTAACAGACACAAATGAAGTTTTAGTTATCTGCATAACAAGTTTACTGAAATTTCATGTCTCTGTAGATGTTAACTGCAGATGTTTACAATAATTATACAGCATCTATACAGTCCTAGTGCATGGGAATTACTCCTTTTGTCATTAAACTAGATTTGGTACAATTTCCATTAAAGATGCACATCCTGCATTTAGTTTGTTGTATCATGCGAAACTGTCATCAAATAACAAGGAGTAAGGATTACTATAACTTGTATTATTTGTAAAATTTATCATTAAAAACTGTTGTATAACCACCCCCCACCCCCAGCCTTAACAACACACTATCATATCCATGTACTTCCAGACCCGTGAAGATCTGGTCTTCAGCAAGACATTAAGAGGCTTGTGGTAGGTGACAAATGGGATCAGGTGGTCAGGCTTGCTGACGTGGTTGACACATGTCATCGTATCCCAATTGCGTAGGTCGATGCTCATGATGTTGACTACTGGATTATCTGGCCCAGACTTGATTATTTACAGACGGCCGCCATATAGCTGAAATATTGCTGAGTGCGGCGTTATACAACAACCAACCAGCCAACCAACCATATACTTCTAACTTACCATTTCTGCTTACCCTGGAAGTCAAACATCCCTGGTTTGGGAACACGGCAGGGTCCTTCCTTCACCTGAAACATTCATGTATACAAAGACGTATATACGTCCTTGATGTATATAACCAACTCAGGAGGTTTCATCCCCAACATGAAGAATAGCAATAAAATATCATAGCTATATGGGTCATTCCTTTCAAACATACATTTGATACATGTTTTCCTGTTTGGTTTGGTTTCTACTTTTTTGGTTCACACAAAATGGTTTCGGGTTAGTCCATCCTGCACTCACCCCTGTATGGGGATTTATTGATTCCCATTTCATAGTTTGCTAATCACAGAGTATGAAACATGTGATCCATAGAATGTATTGAGGACTAGTTGCAGAGGCATAATAATGAAATAAATGAAGTAAATCATAACAATATCAAAAGTAAAATGAACAGAAATAATAGTCCAGAGAGATTAATTAACCTTCCTTGAAAGTGTAAGAATCTGGAGTGACATCCCATGCACTACTGTATGCTGTATGTGCAAAAAACAGACATGAGAGTTCCTGCGTAAGATCTTTGATGTCAACATTCTTTGTCCTAATACTTGGTATTAATGTTTATATTTCATGATATCTACATGTTCTTAAGTGTATACAGAAAGCAGCTTATATCAAGTGTCTATCTTTATTTATATGTTCTTATGCTGACTACATATAAAAGGAGAGCTACAGTGATACATACAGTACTTATCTCCTTCACTGAAGTAACATGGGTTTACACTATGGTAGCAACATCCTTTCCAAATAGTGACAGGCAAGATGAGTAGCCAGATACTATTCTACAATGTGTTGGGATCTCATATGTGTGCATTAGGTCATACAATTAAGCAAAATATTTTAATGTTCGAAATAGACCTATGTATCTGCGAAGTCTGTTGAATATTGCCGCCATTTTCAATCAATAATGAAATTAATATTTTATACTTATCCTGACTCATGCTTATTGCTTGTCTTCTTCTTCTTGCGAACATAGTGGAACACGTGTATCTCCCAATTGAAGTTCCCTTCAATTAAAAAATCACTAATTAGTACTCACCACGAGTTACCTCCCTTCCACAAGAGCGGGAACGAGAGCGCCACCTGAACCCATGTGCCTCACTCTCTCCTTTTGTTTCGAGCCCGATACTTTATTTTTCCGAAGAAATCCAAAGTGTTAAGTGGGGAGGACGGGAGGGCTTACCTCATGAGTCAGGATAAGTATAAAATATTAATTTTACTCTAAAAATTTCATATTTTTCCTTATCCTGACTCATGCTTATTGCTTGTAGAATCCGACGGAAAAGGAGGTGGGAATATATATACTTTGGATTTTAATAATTAGTGATTTGAACTGTGATGATTGTAATAACCCTATGGGAACTTCATAAAGGCACTGAACTGATGAATTCCTGCTGTTTAACTTATCAGCTGCCATATAAAGGTTCTTACAATTTATTGAATATGATAAAAGCATATACAACATTAATGTAAGCTGAAGCTATTAATGTGATAGTATAAACTTCTGTGAGTTTATAGTGGATACTTTTATAAATTAACCAAAGTATTAAGCTTAAGATATGCATATATTTAAGCTATAATAGTATAGTACTGTGCTTAAGATATAATTATAACTTAAGCTGTATAATAGTAACCAACTCCTTAGAGTTTGTTAGCTAATACATTTATGCACATGACCATATGACTGAGCTTAAGGATTGATGAAACTTAAGCTGAACATATATATAGTAGCAAAACTCCTAGGAGTTGTAAGCTTATATATAGTATGATATAAAAAACCATAGTACTGAGCTTAAGATAATAAATCAAACTTAAGCAAAATATATAGATAGCATGTAGCTATTAGTACTGTTATCAGATAAGTATAAAATCTGTAAGATAGACTTATCTTCTCCGTGGAACTGTCAACTGTTGAGCGAGGACCATGGGACCGAAATGGTGGATACCTGAGGCGTCCTCGGTGGTGATATCTCTCAGATAGTGGTTGGCAAACACCATATCGGATCTCCAGAAACATCCCTCCATTATGGTATTCAACGAGCAATGCCCATGTAGAGCGAGAGTTGAGGCTAGCTCTAATTTAAGTGAGGATTAGAAGCTCTTGGAGGGTCGAGTCCTGCAGCCTTGTAGGCGCGTAGTATGACAGTTCTGATCCAGATAGAGATCGTGAGTGCACATTGAGACTTCCGTCTGCGTAGCTGTAGATATAGGGATAAATAATCTCTTGAATTTCCCTCTGCTCTGTTTGGATCATTGGAGATATATTTTCAGTGCTCTCACTGGGCATAGTGATAGATCCATCGTATCATGCGGTCCAAGTATGGATGAGAGAGCTGGGGCGATGGAATAATCTGTCTGGTTGACCTGGCAGTTGGTTTTCGCTATAAAATCCCAGCGAAGTCCCAGATGAGCGATGTTATGAATATCATCAAAGCGTGTTCTCTAAGTAATCCAATGCATGAATCTCTGACATCCTGGCGGCCCGTAGCTAGTGCTAACAGGAATAAGGTTTTGTGGGTCAGTGATTCAAGCGATGTAGATAGCAATGGTTCATAAGCCTCACTAGTGAGGTGTTGGAGCACTATATTTAGATCCCAGGCTGGGGCGTGAAACTTCGTTTCTGATCCTCCAATCGAACGCGTAACAAAGCAAGTAACTCTGGTGTTTTTGTTAACTTGGCCCGTTAAGCATAGTTATGACAGAACTTATAGCTGCAAGATAAGTGGACAAGGTTGAGCCTTTTAGATTCTTAGTTTGCCGTAGATAACATAAGAAATCTGCCACTTGAGGATGTGTAGCATATCTGGCTGTAAATCCTTTCTTAGCAGCGTAATTGACAAAACTGTGCCATTTGTCATCGTATAAGTTACGAGTTGAGTTACGTAGTGCAAGCGTGACCGCTTTAGCCGCTCTGGCAGAATAACCTCTCTTATTCAGACATGCCTTGATACAATCCATACGTGAAGTTGGAATGCTTCTGGTGTTTCGTGCACTTGTTTGGTGTGCGGATGTATCAATAGATTGGCACGTTGTGGGAGCTGAAGAATTGGTTTTCCCATTACTTGAATGAGATCTGGAAACCAAGTTCTCGCTGGCCAGACGGGAGCTCTGCGTTTGACTGATTTTCTGTAAGACTTGTGGGATCAACGCTGGAGGCGGGAAAGCGTACGCGTTGAGTCTCTCCCACGATATGCTTAGTGCGTCCGTTGCCCATGCTAGTGGGTCTGGCACTGGCGACACGAATGTTGGCAGTTGCTTGTTGAATCGAGTGGCGAATAGGTCTATCAGTGGAGATCCTATTTCCATGATTATTTGATTGAATATCTCTGTGTAGAGCATCCATTCTGTCGGCGACGGTTGGTGTGGCCGAGAGAGAGCGTCTGCTAATACATTCTTTGCTCCTGGAATGTGGCAAGCTCTGACGTGTATGTTTAGATTGTCGATTAAATCGAAGAGTCTGAAACATCGAGTCAGTAGGTTCTGTGACCTTGTTGAACCTTGTTTGTTCACATAAAACGCCACTGTTGAATTGTCTGTGTGAACCATCAACTGAGCGTTCTGTAGTAGGTTGCTCCAGTGACTTATGGCGTTTATGACTGCTTGCATCTCTAGCAGATTTATGTGACATTTGCTCTCTTGATTGCTCCACAGGCCTGACGCTGTCCTGCCAGCAAGGTGGGCTCCCCAACCTTGTAGAGACGCGTCTACGTAGAGATGTGTTTTCGATTCCGGCTCTACTAAGGAGACGACTGCGCAAACATTCAATCTCTTGGTCCACCAGAGTAGATGTGGTTTGACATAATCTGGTAGACTGAATGGTAGAGGGTCCTCGAGATGAGCATTGATGAGGACTTGTAACGGACGTAATTGAAGCCTGCCTCTGACTGTCAAGTCTTGAGCTGATGTGAGTAGTCCCAATAGGCTCTGCCACTGTCGTAGTGGTAACGGAGAGAGTAGGGCTTGAGGAATAAGTTGTTGGATCTTTATCCATCTGTCCTCCGGGACTACAATACGATTCTGAGCTGTTAGAAATCGTATACCTAGAAATTGCAGATCCTGCGTTGGTTCTAGGTCCGACTTGAGTAGATTTACTAAACATCCTAATTGAGTTAGTAGCTTGATTATAAAGTTCAGCTGTAGTCTGAGACGCTGTGGATCTGGATCCACTTGTATACCGTCATCTAGGTAAAAAGAGCTGCGAAGACCTTGACGATGTAGGTATGTGACAATAGGCTTGGTCACTCTTGTGAATACCCAAGGGGCCGATGTGATTCAGAGGGGAAGAACCTTCCATTGGTAATGTTTCCCGTCTAGGATAAATCTTAGATATTTCCTTGAGTTGGGATGAATCGGAATGTGTAGATATGCGTCTTGCAAATCTATGCTGGCCATGTAATCTTTGGGACGAATTAAATGCCGAAGTTGCGGTAAATGTATCATGCAAAACGTTGGTGGTTTGCATAGATATTCTCTGTTGAAGATGCTCATGTTGTATATGAGACAAAACTTCTCCTTGGAATTTTTCTTCGGCACTAGAAAAACTGGGGAGTAGAAACCTGGTACGATGTTTCGTTGATCCAAAACTTCTAAGGCCTGTTTGTTTAGTAGAGTAAGTACTGTTTCTCTTAACATAGGTAGTTGTGCCGGTTGAACGTTGAACCCTGTTAACGGAGGCTTGACCTTGAGTTGTATTAGATATCCGTGCTGTAGGATGTTGGATACATATGGATCTTGTAGTATTCCCCAGTTTTCCCAGTGTAGCTGAAGGCATCCACCCACTTGAGACGGTTGTACTGGAACGGCTGGGGGTGGAAGACTCCAGTCGTTCCGCCTGAATTTCATCGTCTAAATCCACGGGCACCTCTGGATGATCTGCCTCTAGCTGATCCTCCCCTAAATTTGTTGTATGGGCGACGAAAATAATCCTTGGGATCTTTAGCTGCAGCTAATTTCTTGTCCCGTGCTTTCTGTAGCCCCGAAAACTTAGACTTGCCCGAGTATCTCTGTGTTGACTGTTTAATGACGTTCGCTAAGGTATCCATGGATCTGATCATAAGTACCTCTCTCGAGTCTTTAGATACTTCTTTGGAGACCTTGTCTATGTTGCCACCAAACAGTAAGGGCGATGACCATGGAGCTGTGTATAGAGATTCTGTAAATTGCTTATCCCAAGAGCAGGAGGCTAGTAAGCCTTGCCGACGAGCCATGGTAGTAGTTTCAGTAAGCGCTGACAGGTGCTCTGTAAGAAAATGGTGGTCTCTTTTCTGCATGAGTAGAGCTGACTAGATCATTCTATCTTCCTCCTCTGTAGAATTCTTGAACTTGGTGATGAGAGTTTCATTAATCGTTCTAGATCTATTCAATCCAAAGAACATTCTCCTGGCGATGGTATCTAATTGAGCGAATTTGCGATTGTCTACTTTGTAACTTCTGGACTTGGCATCGCTGATTAATTTAAAGTTGTCATCAATATCCTGGGCCTTGAAAAAGGGGTCCATATTGTGTCCAGCAAATTTCTTGGCATTGAAGACCGGGAAATGTGTAGATTGGACTTTCGAAGATTTGGAACAGGCTGTATCCAGATTAGCTGGTACCGCTGCAATCGGGTCAATAGGAGGTAAGGTGATATTGACTACATCATCATCCTTCATCAGGTAAGTCTGAGTTGAATTCTCGTTCTTCGATGGGGAAGCAAGTTGTAACTCATTCACCATCCAGTATCTAATCTCAGCATCTGAGAAAATGATACCTTCTTCCTCTGCTTAGGGTCACATGTCGGAGTCCTAGATCTGTAGGAAGATCTATGAGAGGACTGTGGTGAACGGACTGACGAGTGGCTAGTGTAAGGAGACCTTGGAGGAGACATCCTCGGCGAACGCTGGGGACTTCGCGAAGCTCTTCTAAATCTTCTGGGCGAGGTAGATATGGAGCCACTTAGCCTTCACGACCTTCGCGAATGTATCGAGTCAGTGTCGAATCGACATATGAGCTTGCTGCTTTGAAGCGACCTCTGTGTTCTACAGGGTGTGGGCTCGGCGAAGCGCTCCTTCTCCGCGATGTCCCTCGCAACTGGAGAGGCTCTAGCTCCTTCGCGGAGGCGGCCTGGGACTTCCTTTGCGAAGTGATCGCTACGGGCTGGGTTGCCCTTCGCCGAGGCACGTTTGTGGGCTCTGGGGCCCTACGCGAAGCCAAGGCGGGCTCTGGGGCCCTGTATGACTTATTTTGGGTTGGGCTCTGGGGCCCGTGGCTCTGGGGCCTCTGTAAACCGTAACGGTCCTCCATCAGTCTCATGATTTGGTTAACCAGGTCGTCTGGGACGGTCTGCGCTGGCGTTGAGGGTGGCCTCTCTGTGAAAGTGACGGGACCCTCAATCATAAACTCAGGCGTCAGCGTAGGCATCTCTGGTTGCGCGTTGATCTGCGCTGTAGTGACGGTAGCAGATACTGGACGTTTCTTATGATGTACATCTGGAATGATAATCGGAATATCATCATCATATAAACATAATTCTGAGTCAGGTAGAATATCGGAGGCAAAATTATTTGTAGCTTTCGTAGATTTCCCTTTTGACGAAGCTGTGGACCTGGGGGTTCGAGGCGTACGTTGAGATGATGTGGACGCTTTCCTAGTCTTAGACAGTGAAGACGGATATCTTGAGATGCAGGTCGCTTCTTGGACATAGCGGACTGCGTCCCACGCTTATCCCCCGAGGGAAACTCCGGCAGGCCACCAGCCGGTGGCGGGTCGTCAGTCAACAGTTGACAGGGTATAAAGCTTCCGATCTATTAGCCATGACTGAAGATTGTTTGCGAGATTTATCTGCCTTCCGTCTCAAAACGGAACATAAATATTTATCAAAGGCAGAAATTGGTAAATTAATACATAATTTACAACGAGAAACAATAGAACATGGAGTAATGCAAACTAGGGCATTTTAAATGTGGATCGGTGGCGGAATAGCGAAGTTTTCAACCTGTGCAGATTCTCGTGCGTAAACTGCTGAACAAACACGCGTGAACCGTGAACAAATCAGCAGAAACACGACTAATAATCAATGCAAGTTGAATAAGGATACTAGTTACACCTCTATAACTGAATATAAGAGGTACTAAACTAAATATAAATAAAGGATATAGTGTGTTGGGAGACACAGGCGCTCTCACGTCCAGCTCACTGGGCGAAGAAGGAGAGAGTGAGGCACATGGGTTCAGGTGGCACCCTCGTTCCCGAGCTTGTGGAAGGGAGGTAACTCGTGGTGAGTACTAATTAGTGATTTTTTAATTGAAGGGAACTTCAATTGGGAGATACACGTGTTCCACTATATTCGCAAAAAGAAGAAGAAGACAAGCAATAAGCATGAGTCAGGATAAGGAAAAATTTGTATGTTTTTAATGATCTACACAAGAAACAATTACTAGTTTATGTTGTTGCCATGGAAACTTGAAAAAGAAATTTTTGAAACAATATCCAAAACTATCAAAAGGCATCAATTCACCAGTGGACCTATCTCCTTACATAGTTCGTGAAGAAATATTGTACAGCTTTCAAGATCTGCTCCTAAATTGTAATGTTGCAGGGACAGATGAACACCCTGAAACCCATGTTGCAGATTACACCATTACAGGTATGCTTGGGTTAAGTGAAACCCCGTGTTGTGATTTGTTCTCTTGCCCCTTCTGGTCTAAAATATAGACATTTGTTTTTCACGATCCACAAACTGACCCATCTATATGCAGACACTGTGCATATACACCTTGGGGAAGGTGCTCAAGACAAATTATTTCAACAGCATTGTGTATTACATAATTAGAACATACTTGCTTGTGATGGGCTGGGAGCTAATAATTTGAGAATATTAGGCCTTCAATGAATACTCTCTGAGGCAATACTATACACATTACAAACATTGTGAGTGAGTGAGTGAGTGAGTTTAGTTTTATGCTGCATTCAGCAATATTCCAGCTATATGGCGACGGTCTGTAAATAATCGAGTCTGGACCAGACAATCCAGTGATCAACAGCATGAGCAACAATCTACGCAATTGGGATACAATGAGAACCAAGTCAGTGAGTCTGGCTACCCGATCCCGTTAGTCGCCTCTTATGACAAACATGGGTTACTGAAATGATTACAAATATTGGGTAATGATTATAATAACAAGTCAGCTGTTGATGCATTATTCAGTATATTCAGTGAAACAGTAAAAAACTAAATTAGCTGACATATTTTTACCATGTTGAAAGTGTTCATTTATCACATCAATTTCATATCTCCCTTTGATAAATAACAGTCAAATTCAAGTAAATAAGGTAAAAACGCTGCATGAAAAATTCATGAATATTCGATTGAATTCATGAAAGGACACACTTCGATTCACCAAATAGTAACAGCCCTAGTTAATATCATATGGTATTCACATAGAGTTTTTACATGCATTTGGTTATTTTAGATATGGTTTCTTAAAGAATGATCAGGAAGAGCGTGTGCAACACAAGAGCAGAACCCTATTTTGAACCATGTGAATAGTAAACGTAGGAAACACTGACAGACACAATGGCATGTTGTCATGTCTTAACCTATCATGATAGGATTACAAAATGTCGGTTTTCAATGCTCTATTTCAAAACTTGTCTTACCAAAACCTGCCATAACTATAGAAAATAACCATATCAAACCTGTTTGAATCTTGCATAAAAGTACAGCAGTGCCTCATTTTCTATTTTCCCTGCTATTGTCCTGACAAACTTTGTTGCTGACTTGAACAGCTCCTCCACATTCTCCATGTGACCTTCCATCAGTGGACACCAGTCTTCAGCCTTCGGGTCAAACACAATCAGCGAGATATCACTGGCTTAACCTGCCCAGTACATAAAATATATATGTGTACAGCATATAAAACATATCACATATTTTATCATCACAAAAATAGCACACAGGCATTGTTGCTCAGTCAGGTATAGTAAATGTCAGCTTGTTAAGTGAGTATTGCCAATATTTTGCAAATTAGAGCCATACTTTTGTGAAGGGACACAATGCAAAAGCTCCACACATTGTACAAATTCCGAGAGTAAAACCAAGGTGGTTCGCTTGAAAAGCCAACATTTTTATCCACAAAGTTAAACCCCATGACTTTTATATAAACTACTGGGCAAAAAGACAGTTATCACTTTTAAAGTGATTGTATATAAAAAAATTGCTTGGAAGACCAACACTCACAACACTGCCCCAAAAGATGGCTACATCCGGCAGTTCCACCTCCGAAACAGATTTCTGAGGGCAATGTCAACAGTGGCGACAGCACTAGGACAACCCGACAATCAGCAGACAAACAGTCCTTCAACAACTAGGTATGGCTGGTCCATGGGCTTACCGCATTTCCATGGAATGGCCTTGACCCGTCTACACCGTCACTGCAGACTGTAATGGGCACAAACTGCATTTCAGTGGCAGCGACGTGACTAGGAGAGAGTGAAAGTCTGTTCAGAAACAACAGCAGCGTTCAAGTTTGTTTATTTGACAACAGCCAAGAGGAGTCATTTTGCAGCACAAACAACACAAGGCCTTACATCGCCAGAATTGTTCGAGAATACCTGCACAACGTTAACATCAAAGTATTGCCTTGACCAGCGTGTTCTCCAGACATGAACCCCAGTGAACATATGCAGGATCATCTTGTCAGTTGAGACACCTCCAGCCAGCATACAGGAACTTGAACATTTGTTGAACAGACTCACTTGGACTAGGAATAGGATCCCTGCTGACGTCATCCGCCAACTGACAACGTCAATGAGGAGACATGCGTTGGCGTATATGGATGAACAGGGTGGTCACACTCGCTATTGATGGCATGTGCCCTGACTCCTGTCTCATTATGTGACTCCTTATGCATTTTTTTTAATGAACTCTGATCGGTGTAATTTTTAATTTTGACCCTAGACTCTTGATTAATGAATTGCAGCAAATGCAAGAGCAACATTACAATGAATTTTCAGTCAAATTATTGGAAAATGATTTCTGTTTGTAAAATAATTATCATAAATCTCACATACGACTTTGTTTCTATATTTGGGTCACGTAAAATCAGTGATAACTTTCTTTTGCCCAGTTGTTTACGTACTATAGTTAAATCTTTAGTCATTGACTAAGAGCTTAGCTGTTAATCAGCTTAGTTATGTGGTCTCTTTGATGTGAAAGTAGGATATCAATGTTCTGTTATTCAATAAAACAACATTATGTTGTAAAGCAACATCAGTGATGTAAATCAGTTTGGGTCAAATTTGGGTCAAGATGACGGAGTTGAAAAAAAGAAACTCTCAATATCCTCAGTTTCAGCTTGTCCATTAATATATTCATAAATATAACAGTTTCCCATATTTGCCATAAGTGCTGCTGGACTTTAGAACCCTGAACATATGGGATCTTCTAAAAACCATACATAATTTAAACTTCTTGTAATAGATCAAGAGAACTTAGAGAACAGATTTAGTTCAACATAATTATGCTATAGGTTTCTCTTTATAAAAGATACAAAATAACTTTAGACCCTACATGTCTGGTTTTTTTCTGAAAAATGGTGTGCAATATATAGAGAATCTCACTCGAGTGTCTTTTGATATAAAATATATCACCACGAGTTGATAAAGATATCTCCCAGGAGATATTGTTTGATCTCACACAAGCAATATTTCCTGTGGAACACAGTTTTGGATGATAAACTCCAATAATAGTATGCTGTCCTGCGCACTTCATGGTTCTAAGTACTGTGTACTAACACAGAACGCTGATCTGTTTGGAAGCTGGTCAGAGGTTCATATTACTTAACTTAATAAATACTGTAAATACAAAATCCTACTGAATATGCTAAAGCAGTTATTTCTCAGAGGATCATGCTTTTAAATTTGTGACAATAGAAGAATAAGTTTTCAATATTAAACATTGACAAAATTCTCAGTTCCATTCCAAACCACAAAAAGGCCATTCACATGTCTCCGGGTCACATAGCTATGAACAGTTGTTGCTAATATATTTTCAGACACATAAAAAATAAATTATCTTTTGTGTATCACAAATGTTTTTCCCATTGTGAAAACATTGTCTTCAGTTTATAGACCACAGTTTATGGACACTTTTTGCATTAGGTCACACTGTATCGACGTCACTAAGCTATTCTCGTCTGCCCCCTCGTAATCAACCATACCCTTGGTATAAGTTGGTAACCAACGTCACAATGCATGTGAGTTGTCATCGCCTGGTACAGTTTCCTACAGTACAACTACTGTGTAGCACCCCATGTTTTGGTTTGCAGTTGCTCCATTCAGCAAACATCACTTCTGGAAATATTATGATTAACCTTTTTCGATGGAAAAAAATGTCTCTGCTCGAATCACAATTAAACAGCGACAAGGCAATGCTCGCTGACTAAGCCAATGTCCATGGTCCCACAATGCATATGAGACAAGTCAGCTGCATGTGAATGTACAGATCTATTTTAAATACATAGAGCAAAAGCAAAAGCGCTACGGCTACGGGCTAGCAAACAGATATCGCCACATAACAGTTATCAGTCACCAATACATCAGTATCACACGTGCGCAGTATCGGTCAATTACAATTCTGGTATTTTTTCCCCAACGGTATTTGACAACAATAAAGTACAGCAAAAGACACTTCTTCACGGTAAGTTACAAACGAGAAAATTAAAGATAAAGTTATGAACCCTATAACAATTTTTTAGTTAGGGGGGGGATGTTTCACGACCTATATAATAGCAAGTTCAAATTCACAAGTCACAAAATCAATTATTCGCGGTTACTGTATGATATAAATATACATATTATTTCACGAATGGCATGAGAAATTCTAAATGGCGATAAGTGTTACAATTAGTTGTGAGAAAGCATCTATTTATACTGCCATGATTCCCTTCCGCCGCATAATATAAAACATGATCGGTGGCAGTGAACGGGCTGGACACATCGGTGAATAGCTAATTAAGTATCATAATTAATTTTGTTTCATTAATTTAACGAACGGCAGAGTAATTTTGTAAATACCAATAAAATATGGCGATAACTGTTGGGTAGCCAGTAGCAAGTAGGTGTTGGCGATAACTGTTCACCTGCCAGTAGTAATTTACTTGATTATTGGGTCGTTCACCTGAAGCGATAGAATCATTGAACATGCATAACAATAGAAAAATCCGTTCTGCTGTTCTCAATAGACGTCACAACTAGAAGTCAGCCATGAATGACAAAGATTCAATATGAAATGTGCAGAGGCAGTGTGTTTAGAGAGTGATGTTGATATGAGAATTGATTAAACTCCCACAATTTATCATGGCCTAACTGGACAAAGTACTGGCTGTAGCAATGGACATATAAGTATCTCAACTCTCAGCATAAAAATAAATACAAACATGGGAGCAAACTGCTCCAAACTAAACCTCTGCTCATCAGCGCGGTTATGAAGCAAATATCCTTCGCATGCCGAGGGATACGCACTGCAATTAGGCAACAGAAACATAATACAAACTGGAAAGTAAATATATATAGGGATAACGCTACTGGGCTTCCAAATGACCTGTATATAGACGGTAATTGCCAATTTACTGCACCCGCATGTACAACCTTACTTTGCTGTAAAACTGCCTAAATCCTCGTCGGACGTGCTGCAAATTTCATTCACTGGATGTAAGGAACAAAAATATTTTGACTTGATCAGCCATCTGTGGGTTACAGATAAAACGACACCTCACCAAACTATCATTGAACAAAAACGGAATCGCGTCTAAAGTCGAAACGGCTGCAATTACTTTTGTTATTGTATTTTTCAAAAACAGCTTCTTTGAGAGACATGTACTGTAGAAGTTGAGGCGTAAGGAAGAGTACCAATATATGGAAGAACATCTTCTTTGTTGGACAGTTGGACCGTGGTTAGGATAGGTTCCAACACCGTTATCAAATAACAGTAAACCGTACTGCCACTGAGGTGGCATATGGTCGTTGCTCAAGGTTAATTTACTGATAGACCAGAGGCAATCTCCAGCTTGGTAGCAAAATAAAGGAGATACAGACCCGTGTAAAAAGTATTCGGACGTTTGACGTAATCTCCATAGACTTACATGTTATTTCAGTGTAGCATAAATAATTTTCATGAAGTGAGTTTGGGATGGATCTTTATTTGTAACAAGCATTGTCACTAAGGTGACATAATCCCCCGCCGCAAATTATCAAATCAAACCTAAAAAGTAATGAAAGTGAAGGTCGTAATTTAAGATGAAGTTAAATGTTAACAAAAACATGACCAGTCAACCTCTCTTGGTATCTTGCTCTGTAGTTGTTCAAACGCACCAATATTTTCAAGACTCACTTTGACCTTGACATGAATGTCTAAGTGTATGAAATAAGCAAAACTAGCAATAAAGAAATTACTTATTGAAAAACATTCAAGGGAAGTCTTGAAAGTCTATGAAGAAAGTCCAGTGAATGGTTCTTGAGATATCTCGCTGACAATCTTTACATGCAGGTTAACATGCTGAAAAGTCTTCAAAGTGTCGCTCTGACCTTGAAAATTATGTGAAGGTCACCAAAATCGACTGGGCCTTGCACCTTCCCCTGATGAAGCTTGGTGTCGAATATGAAGAAAATCCAGTGAACGGTTCTCGAGATATCTCGCTGACAATCTTTACATGCAGCTGAACATGCTGAAATCTTTAAAGTGTCGCCATGACCTTGAAAATTAGGTGAAGGTCACCAAAATTGACTGGGCCCTGCGCATTCCCTAGATAAAGTTTGGTGTTGAATATGAAGAAAATCCAGTTAAAGGTTCTTGAGATATCTCGTAGCTAAGATACATAGCGTTCACTGACATAAACGTTCATGTCAGTGAACGCTATGTATCTTAGCTATGATGAACCTAGGTACCAAATATGAAAAGAATCCAGTCAACGGTTCTTAAGATATTCCAATTCGTACGTACGTACGTACAGACGGACGGACGGACGGAGCCTAATACTATATCCCCCGCTTCGCGCGGCGGGGGATAAAAATTGACAGGCAAATTTGAAATCGTCTCTGCTCTGCGCACATAATTTCAGTTCAATTTTTCAACCACTGTTTAACCAATGAGATCATATTTATCAGTTTACGTAGTATGGTTCCACAATGCACAATCCCTTAGGCCGCCATGTTAAAGCTAGGAGTTCACCCCACTGTACATATGTTGATTAAATTGATGCCTTTTGATACATAAGCAATGGAATATTAAACAGAAATTATGTGATTTTAGGTTAGATGATTCCTCACAAATGAGCAAAATTTGACTTGGATCTTACGAAAATTAAATTCATGAAAATTATTAATGCTATACTAAATTAACATGTAAGTCTATGGAAATTACGTACCGTCAAGTGTCCGAATACTTTTTGCACGAGTCTGGTATGCCGGAGGTATAGCCACATGTATTTGGTACCGCTGGAAAGCTTGGAATCTCTAGTTTTGTAAAACCAATGTTGCCAGAATTGAAAGTGTCAGGCAACGTGTCATTTTTGGATTATATGGTAAACATATTTTTTTCTCTATTTTTCAGAGAACATGACTTCTATATGAAAATGAATATATCTTCACTACGAATAGTGATTTTATCAATTTTGAGAATGCATGTGCTGATCCAAGCACTGCTTCATGGAACCATGCAAAGGTCATAACGGGAACAGGTCAAAGGGCCAAAGGACAAAAGGGTCAAAATTGAAAAAATCAAAAGTGCCAAAAAAATGTCGAAAGGGCCAAGGGAAAGTCAAAAGGGCCATAGATTTAAGTCAAAAGGGCCAAACATTTAGAAAATAGTAAGATTAGAAGAATTTTCGACTTTCCTTTGGCCCTTTTGACTTTTTTCAATTTTGGCCCTTTTGTCCTTTGGCCCTTTTGACTACAACCCGGTCATAACACGTCTTCACAAGTTCACATACAATTTCAAATAAGAATGAAATGTTCATTGCAGTTAACATGTTTAGCATTACACATTACCCTCTGCTCCAGTTTACTCCCCGAATGTTAAAGAGCAGCACCTACGACGGCAGTAGATATATACTGAACAGCAAAAGAAACGTCAGTTTGGAATTTTCCTTCGCAGAAACGGATGACTGTAAACTCATTTAATGTTTTGATTGTATATTTTTGACAACATTTCCAACTTTACCTGAGCAAAGACATTCCTTCCCAAACTCAGCATTGAACCCATGAAATGGTCTCAAAAACGCAACCTGATCTCGGAAATGCACCCCCAAACCTGGTTAAAAACATTCACATTACAACGTCAGCAGGACGCCCCGACTCACGACAGCTCAGAAGAAGCAGTCGCTAGGAAGACTTGAAGCTGGCCACACTGCACAAGCCGTTGCCAGTCACTTCCAGGTCAAAGTTCGGACCATCTACAGGCTGCAGCAACGTTTCCGGGCCACCAACACCACAAATGATCGCCCCCGTACTGGCAAACCAAGGGTGACCACAAGGCGACAAGACCGCCATGTTGTGCGACAGCATGTACAGAATCCCTTCATGCAGGCGTCCGAAACAGCACGCCAGACAGTGGGAACACACGGAAGACCAATCAGTACTGATACAGTACGCCGACGTCTTAACAGCAGGGTTCACAGATGAGAGTCGGTAGTGCGTATCAACTGCAGATGGCAGAACAAGAATATGGCGACGACATGGCCAGCGTTACTCAGACCACGTCACCGGAACAACATTTCCCAGCATGATAACGCCCGGGCCCATACTGCCAGAGCTTCACGGGACCTCCTGCAGCAAAACGGTGTCAACATTATGCAGTGGCCCGCCCTTAGTCCTGATTTGAACCCAATTGAACATCTTTGGGATGAAATGCAGAGGAGACTGAATAATGTCATACCAAGGCCGAACACAGCCGATTTATTGCGCCAGGCCTTTCTCAGAGTGTGGTTCCAGGTGCCAATGGCCTTCATCAGTCGATTGGTGCACTCCATGCATAGAAGTTGTGCAGCAGTTATTGCCGCTCGTGGGGGCCACACTAGATACTGGTCAAGAGTCTGAATGGACAGCAAAAATTCACGTAATGTCTTGAAATTGAGTTATTCATTGATGTGTCAAGATATTGTACACAAAAAATGTTTTTGATCCGCTTATTATGTCAATTGCAATAAAGAAATATACCCATAGAATGTGTTCCTCCACTTGATTTCTGATGTTTTCGCATTAGACAGCCAATTTGTCAAATAACGTTGTAATTATGTTCTTTTCCCTACTGCACACTTATACTTGGGTACGACTTTTGAAAAATTTCTATATGAAGTACAGAACAGTAGAGGAGTTCCAAACATTTGGTTGGTTGGTTGTTTTTTTGTTTTACGCCGCACTCAGCAATATTCCAGCTATGCGGTGCGGTCTGTAAATAATCGAGTCTGAATCAGACAATCCAGTGATCAACAGCACAAGCATCGATCTACGCAATTGGGATACTATGCCGTGTGTCAACCAAGTCAGCGAGCCTGATCCCCCGATCGCGTTAGTCGCCTCTGGTAACCACTATCAAATTGTTATGATACCAGGTGTTCGTGAAGAGTTGAGCGTATATCCTGCCCCACTGATGAATAATATATAAGCCAAAGAAAACTGAGTGTATGGCTGCGCTAGTACCTTCTGACCACGGAGTGTTTGATTACTTCATGAGTTTCACATTCTACGAATATCGAGATTACTTCCGTGGAAATTGATCATATGTATATTAGAAAAGTGATATTCGCAAATATTTCTTTTTCGATGAAGAAAGCAAGAGCTATCCCCCAGATGCATGTTAATGGTTACACAGTGCACAAATTATTATGATAAGTATCATGTAATTGTTTCTGTATGTACATGCTAGTCTTTCACTGGCAACCACCGAGTTTTAAGATCTGTTTTGGTAAGAAGAGGTTCACAGCATGCTGTTGTAGAGCTTCAAAGCAGTTGTTCGTGAACCAAGTATACCATCATGTACCTTATTGTTCAGAATATGTCAGTAGCTCTTACTAGTCTTACCTCTCAAATAGGTACTGTGTAGTTTTGTCATGCCACCATCGACACAGTTACAGTTGTCCTATCCAACCCCTTCTTCTGCGCCACTTTCTTCTTGATAACCTCCAAGTGGGAAGGTTGAGAGCAGGCAGACCTCCATGCATGGAAAACGTTTGTCACAGCCTTCGTGCAACAAATAGGTCTGTCTGTCCGACTACTGGCGTATTGATGTGTAAGTGTGTTAATATTTCACAGTGCACACAGAAGCCAATGTTAGTGCGCCCAGAGGGGAATTCACAATTACTAATGCATTGGAACTAAGCATTTACACGCCCTTAAGGATGCCTCAATGAGCAGACAAAATGACGACTTGTAGGCGAAATGGCTTATCAATCAAAAAGTGTAACTTCCCGACCTTTGGAAAAGTACCGTCAAACATGTCGGTTTGTAAGGGACCTAAGCGTGGCAGTCCTGAAAGAACGACGACTAGAAAAATCTCTTTGTTGGTTTATTAATTTATTACATATAGTTATGCGTATTTACAAAATGCATTACTTCTTGGGACCGCCAAAATGTTAAAAGACTAAAACAAGTCCGTCTGCTGATCCTCCAGCATATCCATTATATGAACGTGAACAGGGATGTCCGACATCATTTTGTAGAATCTTAGGTGTTCCATACTGGCCAGAGTGACGGAGCGTAATCCCGGCAGACGAAGGAGCACCTTGGCAAACCGCGCCGGTTGCTGTGGATGTCTGCACAGGCAGTAACCTTCCAGAGATGTATACACGTTGCTGCGTAGTGTTTCGACAATTGAAGGTGCCTGTAACCCCTTTACATCTAAAACATACCAAATAATAGAGACAAATCATCACCGCAGTCTCATGAAAAACACATTTTTCCTTTACAGGCATGAGAAAAGCTACAAGTTAATGTATAGGCGTTGCAATCAGTATTGCAATAAAGGAAAATATGGCTTCGTTGTGAGAGAGCAAGTTCAGGATTGGTGCAAACAAACATTTCGAGAGCACCAGGAAAACTGACATGTGTCTGATGTGTCAATGTTTTTGAAATACAATACCTGGGTTGAGTAATATGATGGCTCGAATACAGCCCAGCTCTGCTTTATCCATCTGTAAGGCCTTCATGCGGCCTACTACTTCTGTCAAGACTCTATCAATTATTGCCCCAATTCCAGCTTTGCGTGCAGCGGCACGGTCAACGTGTAACCCCGTAGACAACAAGATAGCATCGGTCACAGCAGTCGATCGGTGACAGAAACCAGCAATCAGTAACTCGTTCCAGCCTGAAAAAGTAATCTGTTACTGAATAAGTAATACCTTGTCAAACTAAGCGAAGCATCATGAATATAATTTCATTACAAACCTGACACTACTCGTCGCATTTGTCTTCAGTAACAACGACAACAAATCTTGTTTGATCACGGTATACATATCTCTCTCTCTCTCTAGCTGAGCATTATTTGATGTTATGCCATTTTCAATTGAAAAAGATAAGAGCATGACAGGTCCAGAGAAACAGCTGGCCAGGGGAGTACCAGAATGTTCTGCTGTCTCATGACATCTGTCACAGGACATGTGAGCGAGTGAGTTTAGCTTTACGCCACACTCAGCAATATTCCAGCTATATAGCGGCGGTCTGTAAATATCAAGTCTGGACCAGACAATCCAGTGATCAACAGCATGAGCATCGATCTGCGTAATTAGGAACTGATGACGTGTGTCAACCAAGCCAGCGAGCCTGACCACCCGATCCCGTTAGTCGCCACTTACGACAAGCATGGGTTACTGAAGGTTCATTCTAACCCGGACCTTCACGGGTCACAGGACATGTGAACGAGAATTATTTTGCTGAAGCGTGAAGTTACGTCTCTGTCCTTGAATGAATGGCTGCACATGAGCTCCAATGATCTTATCCCTGTATCGCAGACCTGTCAGATTGCCATTGACAATGTTTTCAACCAACATGAGATGTGCTTTGCTACATGTTTATCTAGGGATATTTTCATACTTTCTTTCATGTAATTTTATGTTATGCACAGTTATTTTTTTCCGTTAGTACATATCTAAATACTACCTCCTAGTTTTTGTGATCATCCTTTAAGATTGGTAAGGGGTATTACCTGCCCGCAGCAGTACCACCTGGTCCTCCAGCGACAGCTCCATGAAGTGGGGGATCATCTTTGCCCATGTCACCAAGGTTAACAGCTGCTTGTCCGCAGCCTGGCATATCTTCGTGACTGCCTCTTTCTTGGGTGGGGGATAAACAACGAGATTTAGATTAGAAAGATTCCACTAGGCATGCATATATGGCTACTGTGTATCACTGATAATGAACTGTTACAACCTCTTCATTAACATCAAGTTTACATGAAGACATCGATTCATAAATGGCTACAAGGAAGTTACTATCTATATCACACCTGGAAATTATTTAACAAATTTGTGTGTCTCGGCTTACATTAAATTAGCGGAGTGCACACATAGTACGTTGGGAAAACTACATGCTTTTCTGTAAGATGATGTCTTGACTTCAAGAAAACACTAAACGGATAGTTTTCTTCAACGTTTTTATACTGGATATGGCACAATGCACAAATAATCTGTTTTGTTTCAAAATTATACCTGTTACACGCACGGAGCTCGAGAGAGGATCAGACGGCATGGCGTGTATGTGATGAGACTAAAACCTTTATTTGTTACCTGGGAACGTTGTAAATCAATATCTAGTGTACCTTTGGAAAATGGTTTTAAACAGGTGATATCCTGTGCTCCTGGCTGCTCAGATCTGGACTCATGGCGGACCACGGAAAGTGAGTCACTGCATTATTCTGAATCAAAGCTGTCACTGCACGAGCACGATGTGGCCTAGCATTGCCATCCATAAAATCAGGTCTTGTAGCAAGAGGGTGCTTATCAAAGTGGGGTAAAACAACTAGATACACTGATCACCCGTCAAAATGAAGTCAAGTTTGCAGTAATGAGAGACACATTCCCACACCATGGCTGAACCTCAAACAAAGGCAACTGTTTGTTGAATGTTATATTATTATGCTGTATTTGCTGCCTCCAAACTCTCATGCGTCCTTCAGTTACATGAAGGAGGAATCGACTTTCATAAGTCCAGTGTATTCTTCACCAAGTCCTCAATTTCCAATGTTGCCGTGGTAAACACCAAGCTTGTTTGTGATGAACTCTCAGAAGAGGGCATTTCATGACTTTTTAAAGATCTCTATTACGTTATCAAGACAGAATAATGTGTACATGAAGAGAAAAAGTAAGCCATTCGAAAACACAAAGTGGCTGCCAGTCGCTATCACTGTTTCGCACATTACTACAAATAGTTTTTACAAACACTGCGTTTGCCACAAAGGCTTTTCATCATCCAAAATAACAAAAAGAAAGGTCTCAGACAGGCAGCAATCACAAAGGCAGAGTGAGTGATGACAAATACATTTGTATTTTTAGTCAACATCCACAAAAACACCATTCGTCACTTATAGGGACGTTTTCAGCAAAACAATTAAGTTAAGAACCGTCCCCAGTAACGGCCCCACGTCAAGACTGATGACTTCGAACCATGCACCCCCGACACAGGTTCACGCCAGCAGCCCGTACCATACCTGGCACTCGACTGAAGTGCATCTTCGAGAACAGTTTGACGACGTCTACGTGTCCACAGAGACCATATATTATATGGTCTCTGGTGTCCACGGCATCCTTGCAAGATGCCCAGTTTGACTGACGCCAGGATATGGACATTGGCGGCTATAGTAGAGCAGACAACACTTGTTTTAGGGAGCACTTGAGTCGAGAAGAAGTCTCTACACCTATGAGTTATGTTTACTTCTTCACCGAGCTGACAACAGGACACGTGACCTCAGGCGTACGGGTGAACATTACACCACACCACGTTTTCTGGAAGGGGATGGTTTTGGAGGTGTGGGTGTTATAACCTGGGCTGGAATAACAACTGCAGCTAGGACGGCAATGATTATGATTTAGGGGAACTTGAATGTTGTGAGGTACCGAGACGAGATTTTGTATGTGGCCAATTTACCGTTCTTGCATCAGAATAGCCACGGAGTGGCGCCAGACCACTCATTGTTTGAGCTGTACAGCGTTCCCCTACCCTGCAAGATCACCTGATTTTCACCAACTGAACACGTCTGGGATAAAGTGGAGCAAAGTTTACGACATCACCCGATTCCTCCAACAACGATGCAGGAACTCTGCCAGGCTTCAAGGTGCCAGGTCAACATCAATGCACAAGGAGGAAACTCTCGTTTTAGACCGTGTGAACATGTGTCGTACGCCGTTCTTATGGACTTTTGATCATTATCTTACCTTGAAACACTTGTCTTTCGATATAATAACAGTTCATTGCCAACTGATGCTGTTTGTTGGGTGCCATTGAGTATACATACCTACTAGCAACAGTGGGAAAAATGGGCCTAGGCTTGATATCCAGGGTGAATATAATGTACTTCACACAACAGCTGATCTGGTAATTGTGGGAAGATTGAAACAAGCGTCTTCTCACTGGCATCGTGTTTTAAGCCTTCCATACTACATTGGATTAGTCAGTGCTGTTACTTCACATTCCAGTTCACACCTACCACCAAAAAGTACCGAAATATAGTAATTTCCATACCATAATGATAATGGCAAGGATCAACTTCTTGTAGAGTTAATTATTGTGGAAGAGGTTGAAACATATCACCGCAACCTCTCCGTGTGCAGGATCGACTACAAACACACACACACACCCTAACCATACGAATCTGTCCTTCATGACTGGATTCTGAAGTCTCTTCATTGTATTGAACTCCCTGAGCAACTACTTGATTTACTCAAGACTTTTATGAGTTGCTCCAATTGATTCAACATGAGATGTACTTGCAAGTGCAGGTGCAGACTTTGGGATCCATTCCAATCAGAAGGGGAATATTTCAGGGGGACTCCTTGAGTGCTTTGCTTTTGTGTTTGTCTCTAAATCCTTTGAGCCTTCTGTTCAATAAAGTTGGTGGTTGTTATCCTGGACCTCCTCAGCACACATGCCCAACACCGCTTACTCTCTCCTTTACATGGATGATATCGAGGTCCTTGCCAAAGGAGATATTATTTGAAAGAATATGATCTCTTTGTGGAGTCCTTTCCTAAGGATATTGGCATGACATTTGGATTCGACAAATGCAATGCTCTGCATTTGAAACATGGCAAGGTAATTAATGATGGATTGGTTACATGCTAGAGGATTTATTGCGCATCCTGTGGAAGATCAGGCCTACACCTACCTTGGAATGCAAATTCAAGACAAACTTTGGGCCGAGTATAAATAATCTGGAGCTCAGCGCTAAATGCTCGAAGTCTTGACCGCCTAACCAGAACGATCATGTCTGATAACTCTGGTACCTCTCGTTTATATATGCCGATTAATTCGGGAGGTAGGGATTTGATTGAAGTGGAGGCTCTTCATTCAGAATTTGATTGTGTACTTTTGCACATAATTATTATGGTCATGCATGCCAAGACTCATTATGAAAACAAGGAAATCCACAACTGTATTAAGCGCGAAGATTGTTTTACAGAATCTGAAATTTGAGGTTGATTTTACTGTTGGTGATGTCCTGCTGGAGGGTACAGCGATGGGAATAAACCAGGTGAAGTCATTCACCAAGTCTGCCCAGTCGGTCATTTGTGGAGAAGCTTTCTGAGAAACCAATGCATTGTGTGTACAGTGTGTGGAACAAAATAGCAATCCAACTGACTCCTTCTTTGAATGAAGTTGTCTGATTCATAAAGAAAAAACTAATATGAAATGGTGACTGTGACATGCAATGAGACTGTTTAACAACATCTTGTCAGTGGGTGCCCTTCTTTGGGACAAACAAAATATCTTAAACGACATGATGGCATGGGTCGTAGCTTTTCCTACCGTTTCGCCATCACTGTGGCTTTGACTCCGAGGTCCATCCATGGTACGACCCTGAACATGTCCAGGGCGTCATGGAAAATGACAATTTTCAACTTCTTTGGAATATGCCTTTTTGGAAATGCCAAGGAATTTATTAACATGTATATCATTGAATTTTCTGTCCCTTTTGACAGCAACGTGATTAACAAGATTCAGGAAAAACAAAGCAAATATGCGGACCTCGCTTGCATCCCAAGTACACTGTACACACTCAGGCTCCCCATTGGTCTCGCTGACCTTGGTTGAGTACCTTCTGAAGTCTTGGCTCAGATCAGGAGAGTACCGGGGCTCACTACCTGGAGCATATCCCTTTTGACACTCTGGGTAATGCAGAAGGCTGCAGTGTTGGGGAGTCTCCGTGTTACTTTGAAAGGTTTTGGTGGGTTCGGCTAGGCAGCGCTTGCTGGGAGAAGTCCCGATTCGCTGTCTGGGCTGCGTGCAGAGGTGAGTGCATCTAACAGTCTAGTTGGGTACTGTGAAGAAACCCTTGGCCTGTCTTATGTTCTCACTTTCTAGTTGGGTACTTTACCTGTGTGTTGACGTAAGTGTCAGTCTTGGGCTCTATTGCTAACTCAGCGTCGAGTATATCCTTGATTGGCATATCAAAGGCACGTGGACGGAAGGCGCTTGTCATAGTTGTATGCGTGAAGAGAGGGGGCTTGTTCGCTCTGGTAGCACTACTACCCTGCTGGACATCTGTTGATCAGAATATGGGAAGAATGATGATACTTTTTATGGATATACAACGTAGTTATTCTGTGAAAGGGGACGTTTCGACATAGATTCTAATGTCATTGTCAAACAAGTGACTTGCTTGAGGTCACATTAGAATTAGTGACATTAGAAGCTATGTCAAAACGTTGCCTTTCACAGAATAAAGTAGTTGTATATCCATAACAAAATATCATAATTCTTCATCTTCCCAAGTTCTGAAATGCCCATGAAGGAAGAATATGTGAGTCGAAGTTTCTGGTAAGAATCGCTTAATAATGATTGTCTACTTATGGTTTTCTAGCTTCTGATACGCTTCATAATTAGTGACTACCAAAAGTGTGGGACTCTCATCAAGGCCCTACCGTCTTGGTTCATGCCCAGGAGGAGACATTTCTTAAATCTGCAAAACTGACATCTGCTTCGCGTAAGCCGGTCAATGACACACGTGCCTTGAGCATGACAGGTGTAGATCAGGTTCCTGATAATTGTGCGCCTAAAGAACGCTTTGCAAGGCTCACAACTGCAAAAAGATTGAAATTGAGAGATGACAACGACACAGTTCCCAATTACACATGCATCATACAGATAGTAATGTTTCTTTTCAAACTGGATCTTCATTGTTTTGATTACTAACTGAGTCTAATCAACAACTGAATTAATTAATCTTAGGGCTGGCAATTTATTTGAAGGGAAGTGGGGTTTGTAATTGGATAGCAAAATATATGCAAGTAAAGGCCTTTTTAGAAATTTATGGAAAATTCCACACATTGAATTTCTTACTTAAATGACGGTTATGGTAAGAAATAGTTCAGTGTTTCTCTGATGTTAGTGAAAGAACAATATTTTGATTTTTATGAAACATGAATTCTACGCATGTTCTCTGTTAACGCCATCTCGGGTCAAGAGTTGCATGAGGCTAGTTGCCAGTCAGTATCGGGCGTGTCTGTTACTAGTCTGTTTGCGCCAATCCCAGGTTGATGGTTTGGTGTTACGATGAACACAAAAATGCCAGGAAACAACATGTTCCTCTTGCACTATACCGCTCTTTTTCAGACAGGTGGGGCATACTTTCTACCAAGGTTTTGCCGCCCAGAAATGTTATTTCCGGAGCTACGGTACGTTACGATATGTGTTTTAGCATGCGTGATTCAAAAATCAATGGCAATTTCAGCTTGGTGTCATTAACTCAATATGCATAAGTATGCAGATGAGTTCACCCAGTGGGATCTATCTGTAACACACACACACACACACACACACTCTCTCTCTCTCTCTCTCTCTCACACACACACACACACACACACATATACAATATGGTTGTTCATCTAAAAGGGGTCTCAAAATATGTCATCGGAACATCATACATCACATTGCTTTAAAAACCTAGATATAAAACTAAAGAATAATATCCTAACTTCAGATGTTGACAGTTACAGTTGATCACATGTTACAAACACAAAGCCATACCTTAAAGTACCATAGTTTCTACCAGTTGCTTGATCGCCACAGATAGAGCACAGTCCTGAAGACAACTGACTGGATTGTGATGTTCTGTCTTGGGACGGCTGGTTTGATTGCGATGTTCGGTCCTGTAAGAACTGACCTGACTGTGGAGCCCTATCTGGGCTGGACTGACTTGACAGTTTTGCTTTGACTTGTGACAACTGACCTGCCTGATAGATTCTGTCAGGGAACAACTGACTTGACTGTTGTGTTCTATCTTTTGAAAACTGACTTGATTGGTGTGTTATATCTGGTGCCATCTGATCTGGCTGCTGTGTTCTATCTGGTGAAAATTGACTTGCTTGTAGTGTTCTGTCGGGGAACATTTGACTTGACTGTTGTGTTCTATCTGGTGCCATTTGACCTGGCTGTTGTGTTCTATCTGGTGAAAATTGACTTGCTTGTAGTGTTCTGTCGGGGAACATTTGACTTGACTGTTGTGTTCTATCTGGTGCCATTTGACCTGGCTGTTTTGTTCTATCTGGTGAAAATTGACTTGCTTGTAGTGTTCTGTCGGGGAACATTTGACTTGACTGTTGTATTCTATCTGGTGCCATTTGACCTGGCTGTTGTGTTCTATCTGGTGAAAATTGACTTTCTTGTAGTGTTCTGTCGGGGAACATTTGACTTGACTGTTGTGTTCTATCTGGTGCCATTTGACCTGGCTGTTGTGTTCTATCTGGTGAAAATTGACTTGCTTGTAGTGTTCTGTCGGGGAACATTTGACTTGACTGTTGTGTTCTATCTGGTGCCATTTGACCTGGCTGTTGTGTTCTATCTGTTGACAATAGACTTGCTTGTAGTGTTCTGTCGGGGAACATCTGACTGGACTGTTGTGTTCTATCTGGTAAAATCTGACTTGACCGTTGTGTTCTATCTGGTGTCATCTGATCTGGCTGTTGTGTTCTATCTGGTAAAAATCCACTTGGCTGTTGTGTTCTATCTGGTGTCATCTGATCTGGCTGTTGTGTTCTATCTGGTAAAACTCCACTTGGCTGTTGTGTTCTATCTGGTGTCATCTGATCTGGCTGTTGTGTTCTATCTGGTGTCATCTGATCTGGCTGTTGTGTTCTATCTGGTAAAAATCCACTTGGCTGTTGTGTTATATCTGGTGCCATCTGATCTGGCTGTTGTGTTCTATCTGGTGAAAATTGACTTTCTTGTAATGTTCTGTCAGGGAACATTTGACTTGACTTTTGTGTTCTATCTGGTGCCATTTGACCTTGCTGTTGTGTTCTATCTGGTGAAAATTGACTTGCTTGTAGTGTTCTGTCGGGGAACATTTGACTTGACTGTTGTATTCTATCTGGTGCCATTTGACCTGGCTGTTTTGTTCTATCTGGTGAAAATTGACTTGCTTGTAGTGTTCTGTCGGGGAACATTTGACTTGACTGTTGTGTTCTATCTGGTGCCATTTGACCTGGCTGTTGTGTTCTATCTGGTGAAACTTGACTTGCTTGTAGTGTTCTGTCGGGGAACATTTGACTTGACTGTTGTGTTCTATCTGGTGCCATTTGACCTGGCTGTTGTGTTCTATCTGGTGAAAATTGACTTGCTTGTAGTGTTCTGTCGGAGAACATTTGACTTGACTGTTGTGTTCTATCTGGTGCCATTTGACCTGGCTGTTGTGTTCTATCTGGTGAAAATTGACTTGCTTGTAGTGTTCTGTCGGGGAACATTTGACTGGACTGTTGTGTTCTATCTGGTGCCATTTGACCTGGCTGTTGTGTTCTATCTGTTGACAATAGACTTGCTTGTAGTGTTCTGTCGGGGAACATCTGACTGGACAGTTGTGTTCTATCTGGTAAAACTGACTTGACTGTTGTGTTCTATCTCGTGTCATCTGATCTGCCTGTTGTGTTCTATCTGGTAAAAATCCACTTGGCTGTTGTGTTCTATCTGGTGTCATCTGATCTGGCTGTTGTGTTCTATCTGATGAAAATCCACTTGGTTGTTGTGTTCTATCTGGTGCCATCTGATCTGGCTGTTGTGTTCTATCTGGTGAAAATTGACTTTCTTGTAGTGTTCTGTCGGGGAACATTTGACTTGACTGTTGTGTTCTATCTGGTGCCATCTGATTTGGCTGTTGTGCTCTATCTTCTGAGAATTGACCTCCTTGTAGTGTTCTGTCAGGGAACAACGGACTTGACTGTTGTATTCTATCTGTTGCCATCTGATGGAGCTGTTGTGTTCTATCTTGTGAGAATTGTCTATCTTGTGGTGTTCTGTCGGGGAACAACGGATTTGTCTTTTGTATTCTATCTGGTGAATACTGACTTGACTGTTGTGTTGTGCCTGGTACCCATTGACTTGACTGTGCTGTTATATCTGGTGACAACTGACTTGACTCTGGCATTCCATCTGGTACCCATTGACTTGACCGTGCTGATATGTCTGGTGACAACTGACTTGACTCTGGTATTCCATCTGGTACCCATTGACTTGACTGTGCTGTTATGTCTGGTGACAACTGACTTGACTCTGGCATTCCATCTGGTACCCATTGACTTGACCGTGCTGATATGTCTGGTGACAACTGACCTGACTCTGGTATTCCATCTGGTACCCATTGACTTGACTGTGCTGATATGTCTGGTGACAACTGACTTGACTCTGGCATTCCATCTGGTACCCATTGACTTGACCGTGCTGATATGTCTGGTGACAACTGACCTGACTCTGGTATTCCATCTGGTACCCATTGACTTGACTGTGCTGATATGTCTGGTGACAACTGACTTGACTCTGGCATTCCATCTGGAACCCATTGACTTGACTGTGCTGATATGTCTGGTGACAACTGACTTGACTCTGGCATTCCATCTGGAACCCATTGACTTGACTGTGCTGTTATATCTGGTGACAACTGACTTGAACCCGGTATTCCATCTGGTACCCATTGACTTGACTGTGCTGATATGTCTGGTGACAACTGACTTGACTCTGGCATTCCATCTGGTACCCATTGACTTGACTGTGCTGTTATACCTGGTGACAACTGACTTGACTGTATATTTCTGTTTGGTGACAACTGACTTGACTGTCGTACTGTGTCTGGTGACAACTGAATTGGATGTGTATTTATTACCTTTGACTGTTGGAAGCTTGGAGTGGTGCTGTGTGTTAATTCCTTTGATAAACTAGGCTTCACAATGGGCTCAGATTGGAAGAAAATACTCTGTTCAGTGAAGTCCCCTGGTTTTGTAGAGTCGCTGACTGAATAATCTGCAATGACAGTGAGTCTATGCGTCACAGATTTATCACACGGTCAACACAAGGCGTCAACAAGATTGTTTCAAGATTTTCTATGAAATATATGTAGTTCAATATATTTTCGATCTGTCACATTTATGACTGTGTATCTTTGACTATGAGTAGTGTTAAATCTGATGAAATTCCCTATTTTTCACCCGTAACAAGTTTTTTGTTACTGTTATATCAGGTAGTAAGTGGATGCTGCCAGCGCCCACAGTCAGTAATGTTCCAGCTACTCTGTGGTGGCAGGTCAGCACAACCAATTTAGCCAGGCAGAAATAAAAGCCATGATAGGGTACAAATTAAACCCAAAACCAACCCAACCATCAACCCCATCACCCTCACCACGACCATAGGAGATTGATTGTTAGTTTATTTGTGATTTTTCATTAAATAAAACGTTTCATATTCAGCAACATGAAAATACATTAATGACGAAACCATAACAGTCATTATCTTCTCTGTGTTATGTGATACCTGATAGATGATTCTGCTGGCTTGACGAATTTCTTTGTTTCTTTGAAATTTCACCATCAAGTGCTTCACTGTGGAAACAATGTGAATGTGGCACACTCGTGCATTTATCTGAGTCGTTTCTCTTGACACCTCGTTGAGCACCGATTTTAGGCACTTCATTGAGATCTGTGGCAGTGCCCAATGTTGTTGAAGTGGAGAGAACAGATACACACACTGAAGTAACCATGGTTGTGTCCAGTGTTGATGAAGGAGAGAGAACAGATGCATGCGCTGAAGTAACCATGGTTGTGTCCAATGTTGATGAAGGGGAGAGAACAGATGCATGCGCTGAAGTAACCATGGTTGTGTCCAATGTTGATGAAGGGGAGAGAACAGATGCATGCGCTGAAGTAACCATGGTTGTGTCCAGTGTTGCTAAAACAGAAGGAACATATATACGTGTTGGGAAACTGACGCGGCAATCGCTGTCGGAGATGATTGTGTGAACATATAGATGTACCACAAACCGACAGAAAGGGGGCTTCCTCGCTACCCAAGAATGGAGCATTGAGTGTCGTGACGAGGGGTGACAAACTGATCAGATTACATTATATTTGAAGGTATTGGAGGTTTTGCATTACCATGCAATTATTTCTGTTAGCTCATCCTGCAGGGCGCCCATCATGGGCAAATTTGCCGTAGCAGCGGGGCAGAGCTGAAGCCTACGCTTGCCGAGCGCGGTCCCCCATCCGGGTACTCTCTGTAGTCAGTGCATGGCTTAATTAATTTACCTGACTTGTGGCCATGTTCGCAAACAAATATGTAAAGATAATTGCGCGTCTACACTAAAGCTCTCTCGGTACTACAGCTTAATTTATCAAAAGGGGCAGGGAATCCATGCAATCGTTGAAATGATCGAGCGATGTCATAAACAGAATCCTCGTGGACTAAAGGTCAACTTGGACTAACCGATCTTGAGCTGGCTGGGGTATCGGAGAGTTATAACCTTGTTGGAAAATACACATATACGTATGAAGTTTTTACTTTCGTATCCTAAAACGGAGCAGCTATTTTCCAAAGGGCTGTATATGCGCTTGCTAAGAAGACCATTTTACACACACTCACAGACACAGCAAAATGATCTATACACATGTGAGAGAGGGGCTTGAAAGCCAATATTATTTGGTTTTGTTTGTTTCAGTCGTATAACATAAACATGTGTTAACATGGCATAAACAAATAAATGGAATTGGCTTACCTATGGCTTTACCCACTGGAATAGCTGCTAGTGTTTTATCTACAGTTGTCGGAGTGGGAGATGATACTGGCCTATCGTCATCAGATGATCCCTTTGGGGATGGCGAATATTTAGGAGATGGAAGCTTGACTGAGAAATCACTACTTAGCTCGGATACTGATTCCCTGGCTGGAGACGACATGGCTTACTCGTTGTGTCAGTGTTGGGTGTAAGCTACGCAGATACTGAATACGTCTTACGGTCTCCTCTCACCCGTGTGTTCCACAGCCAGAGACAATAGAGTGACGTCACACAGCTGACATGACGTCATCGCGATGCGCGAAGCAAACTATTTACATTTACTAGTACTAGTACATCAGTACTAAAGGTTGGTTTTTAAAAAAAATAAAGCTTAAATCAGGAGCTCGGCATAAGAATAGATAGTTCATGGTTGTGTAACACCGCACTCAGCAATATTCCTGCTACCGTATTTCCTCTAATAAGCGCCGGAACTCTAATAAGCGCAGGGGGTAAATTAGACTAAGGCTTAGTCTCTGAATATATATAATTTTGATAGTAACAAACAAGCCATTTTATATTGAAAAGGAGCCCTAGGGAGACCAGTTGAGGAAATCTAGACTTGCTTTATTTATGGCTTTAGCACTGCAGAGAGGGCTTGGCAGTAGGGGAATTAATGTGGTTCAGGGACTGTGAGACAGACTAGGGGTAAAGCAGCTCACTAATAAATAAATTGCGGTAATTAAAGTGAGCGCAAAAGCGCCGGGCCTCTTATCTGAAGCGCCGGGTCTAGAAGTCCGTTGAAATAATAAGCTCCCGAACGCTTATTAGAAGAAATACGGTAATGGAGTCTAGATCACTCAGCATAAGAGCTCTAACATGACCCTTCACACTATTACATATCAGTGTTATTCAGTATTCAGTCTCCCCTCAAATACCAAGTACCAAAATGTTAAATTAATTTGCAATACGGTTCCGCCGACTGTAAATGTTGTTGAAATGAAACATATACTCATGCCAATAATGGTTGTCACCCCTCCCCACCCCAACCCCAACCCCACCTCACACCCCAATTCCCACACCCCTCTCCAATTAAAATAATTGAAGGGGGTGACATGAGTATATAAATGAATAATACAAAAATATGAAAACATGTGCTCTTTCCGTATCATACTGATAATCTGATAGCATATTACAACAAGCTGCTTTCAATACTTTTACATCAGTAAAAATGATTGTTGTGCAGAAATGTAGAGAATCTATATCTGTTTTCAAGAATTTTCTATCTTGCAACAAGATGTGAACACCACTGATTGCGCCAACCGTCAAAAGATGAACTATCATAAACATTGTTGTTTTAAGGAATGGGGCATTCTCCATCTCCCCCGTGTTTCTCACTTTTCGAGGCATGTTTTACGAACCAGAATCTAAATTTCACAGAGCTGGTACAGAACGGACGCAGTGGCCTTAAAGTGTTATGCGTGCGTTACACGTACAAGCATAGACATAACTGGTTTGAAGCTACAGGTCACCAGAGCCTGTACATTACCCAACAAATACACATACGGGCGACTCTGCAAACTGGTAAGTGATATGTGATATGTTGCCAATATTTCGGTATATGGTCTTGTATGGAGTGACAGCAGCCACACATACACATACAGACAGGGCAGGAATCAGCACCCCTGTACACTTTAACAATATGCCTTCGTTGTTTCTCTGTCGACCGTATCGTACATTGGCGAATGTAGCTGACCCCATGCCCTGAAAGTTTATGCCCATTAAAACTCTCGGGAGTACGGGTGAAAATGAACTGTGTTAATTCTAAATTGTCTATTCACTAAGGCACGGACATTATAATAAATCATCATATGATTTAGGTTGGAAGCCATGTTCATTATATACATGAATTTCATTTCTTTCTGGTGGCCATATTTGATCTTTTTGAGTGGCGTCTTAATATCTTACTCAATTTAGTCATTATCTGGTTTTGAATGTTATATAACTACACCGACCCTGTGCACAGTTTCATACTTTGGCACAAATTGGACATGTTTTTACGAAAAACGACCGGGCCATTACCAAATGTTGCTGTTGAAAACGGGAACTCGAGTCTGGATAAGGTTTTGAGATCATTCTCTATTCGCGCCAGAACCTTATAGTAACTGTTGTCTTGTCCTGTCGATTGCTTTGGTAATGGTCTGTTTTGGAATACGCACAGTAAACTCAGTTTTGCAACAATGCAGTTTTGACCAGTGTCTCTTTCGCAACAGGTTTAGCGCAACACATGACTGATAATAGTTTAAGATCTTATGTTTTTACAAAAGACAAACTTAGTTTGTGATTCAAATTAAAGCGAACTATGAATTTGTTAGACGCACGTAGCAGTCTACAAACGATAGATCATGAGATATAGGGTGTTGCATTAATTAAATTTGTGCATGTCAAGATAGCAGTTAGACACGAAAATGAAACGCAAAGGGTGAAAACATTCTAATATTGATTTCCTACATAGATCTAATATATTTTCGTTTCTCCTTGCAGAGCCTGAAACGCTGCACATTGCATGGAAGATATGTTACGTTGATTTGGGATTTGTTTGAAAGGAATATTATCTTGAAATGCATCAGCAAGACTAAGCTGAAATGACCACAGTAGCCCAGATTCTGAGGTAAAGTTCATTCCATCAGGACACACACAAAACTGATGCTTTTACTCGCCAAAAAGTAATTTCTGATCAGACATAAGGATGTGTCTGAGCTGTGTTCTCTTATATTGTTTACATTCTAGTTATACTCCTCACTGGGTGTTTAGATAAAGCTGCCTTTGATAAGTTAGTAACTTGTTTACAATTGTTCATGCCATATGCAAAAAACAACGGCGTCCGAAATCCAATAACACAAAGATACTATCTTTTTATCCTCGTATTTCGTTCTATTCTCTGTAATCACCTGAACAACTGTAAAGTGTAATACAGTCATGGGACATAAGTATTCTTCAGTCGGCGAAATTCTCATAGACTTGCATGATATTTTAGTGTAGCTGTAATAATTTTCATTAATTCAGTTTTCGTTATTTGGTTGTCAAATTTTGCAGGTTCTTAGGAAATCATCTTGGTCACAGATATATAATTTCCATGTATTGTTCCTTCAAGTATTTTCCGCATAGTAGTTACATGAGCAACATATATACAACATTGTGTATTCTTTCCCCACAGACCACCATGTTAAAAATTGCCCTAACCTTGACTCGCATCAATCAAAGTGTGGTCATTCTTGAAATACTGAATGGAAAATAATACCAAGATTATGTCTTTGCAGCTGAGATGATTGATGACACATGATATGCAAAATATGAACAAGATCAAACGAAAATTCAAGACAATTTTTCTTGCTGCACCAAATTAACATGTAAGTCTATGGAAATTATGCACAGTGACGAATACTTATGTCTAATGACTGTACTTCTAACTTATAAAAGACACTTTTATCATAACATTAAACCATTAACATAGAGATTTTTTTCTGGGTTACATCTTCTTTTTATTCTCGAGTACAACGTTTCAGGGCTTGTTCTGGCCCCATCATCAGGTAAAACTGAACAGTAACTGTTAACTCTGGCCGTGACGTCACAAAGCTTATGATGTCACAATGCTATGACGACGCAATACATGTGGTAGATACAGATGACATGGCTAATAGAATACATGTGTTATTATGAATATATAAGATGTCGTTTACTGCAAAATTAATGGATCAATTTAGAACTGTGCAGATACTTATACAAAATTGTTGATTGATTTAGAAATGTACAGAGACGTATTTATAAATGTATAGAATGTAAAGTAATAGCAGTGTATACATAGAAATTATGCTTTATACATGGGAACAGTGACGAGGGTAGGGTATTGTCTTATTGTTTTATGTACCATGCATTTGGGAGGTAGACACCCTGATCCCTGTTTATTGCTGGTTTTGTGCGTTTGATGAAGATACATGTAGCTTCAATCAACTTGCGTTTCCGCCAGTCACTGATGTTTTTTGCGAGGACTTCAGTTTCCCAGTCAATTTCATGATCGGGATTATTCATAATGTGTTGGGAAACTGCAGATTTCAGATCTGATTTGTCCACTGAAGTTTTGTGTTCTTTCACATGTGTAGCTCCTGGTCTGCCTGTCTCACCAATGTAGATGTCACCACAGTCACATTTCAGTTTATACACACAGCCTTTAGGGTTGGATATAGCGTGATTGCACCCCTTACCATTTGCTATTACTTTACATTCTATACATTTATAAATACGTCTCTGTACATTTCTAAATCAGTCAACAATTTTGTATAAGTATCTGCACTGTGCACAGTTCTAAATTGATCCATTAATTTTGCAGTAAACGACATCTTATATATTCATAATAACACATGTATTCTATTAGCCATGTCATCTGTATCTATTGACCACCACATGTATTGCGTCGTCATAGCATTGTGACGTCATAAGCATTGTGACGTCACGGCCAGAGTTAACAGTTACTGTTCAGTTTTACCTGATGATGGGGCCAGAACAAGCCCTGAAACATTGTACTTGAGAATAAAAAGAAGATGTAACCCAGAAAAAAATCTCTATGTTCATCAAATATCATCTTCTAAAATGCCAATCAAGCAATTAAACCATTAGCCGAGTATTTACGGTGTGCGATAGCATACATCATTATATTGCAAGTAGACACTGCGATCTGAAAACAATATTCGACAATGTATTGGTCAGTCTCACTGACATGATTGACACATGTCATATCTCAATCCTGCAGATCAGTGCACATGATTTTAATCAATTATTTGTTTTGACTCCGTTATTTACATGTTGCAGCCTGTGCTGGTCTAATCAATGATGACCAAGGCGGCGGGGTGTGAGAAATATGTTTTATTTCCTCAGTCTCGGTATGGACAGCTATACCTTGACACACTGTAATAATATGCAATAGATGTTGCTCAACACATTCACATATATGCATACCAGTAAATTAAATGTTTCATAAAGGACAAGATATCATTGTCAAGTCACTGCATACATACGATATGCAGTAATATAATTGCATGATAAGTTCATAAACAAACTCATGCTCATAAACAACTATTAGTTGATCATCATGGATAGTTTACCACATATTAATATAGATATGCACTTGACATTTGCGTCTTGGCATATCAAGATGAAAAACCCTGTGGGTGACACTGAAGCATAGCCTTCCACGTGTGTGGTCACCGACACTTAGATCAGGCAGTATTCATAAGGTGTAGGCTACAGTATAAATAATATTCAATCTGCAGAACATTGTTGATAATGAAATATACAATGCAGACAACATACATTATCTAACTAGCATTACTTTCATGTTTACAATTTCCTGATTTTTTCACATTGGATAATAGTCATACAGATAAGGCTTACAATATGCATTTAGATTATAATAGTACACAACCATTACAATGTGATCTAACACATTTATCCATGACTCCATTCATAACATTCATGCTCATAAATCCCTAACTATTTACAATATCACACATAAGATTACTTAAAGGTATTTAATACAATCAATAAGATTAATATATTTCATACAATAGACTTGGTTTAGTAAGTACTAATTTTAACTAACCTGTGGAGTGATCTGAACAGTGGATGCAGTGCAGTGATTGTGACAAGTGCTGAGAGGTGTTAAGATGGCTGGTGACATAGATATTCAAAATCACCAATCAAAACAAAGAATCAGGCATCAGTTCTTTGATCAAGGCAGTAAAACAATTATAGTAAGATGGAATAGTCTGACCACACCTTAAAACAAGAATGAACTGACCCTATAAGCTGATTGAGATGAAGATAGACAGACAACTACTTAAAACACTTGTAGTAAACAAGCAGTAGTCTGTGGAATAACCCTATACACCTATATACAGTAATAAAACCTGATTGGACCGTATATTAGAATAGTTGCTTTTACCCCCGATACATACAGACCATGATCTTGAACATGAATATTTTGATGTTGAACAAACAAACAAGCAAACAAACAGGGTACGTTAGTTAGGGTTAGATTAGGTTACCCCTAACTCTATCCTTAGCCCTCAGGTCTTTTCTGTCAAGAACCTATTTATGAGAAAAGATATCTTCACATACAGTAGGGTATGGTCCCACCTTGCCAGTCAAATCACCTACTGTTATTCTTAGTTGTTAGGAAAGGTATTGGTTAGCTGTCCTTGACCAAATTAATCCAATGTTTATATTCCAGGAAAGTCTACATTTGTATCAGGTTTAAAATTAAGCAGAGAAAATGATAGTCACGCAGACCTTGAAACAAACATACCCAATATACAGTACACGCAAATCTAGAATTTATGGCAAGTCAAACTTACCACATTTTTAGTTTCTGAAAACAAAGAAAGTCCCTGGCGTCCCTTCTATTATATTTTATGAATATATTTTAGTATGTGTTTTCCCCATAGTATGTGTTCATTTCAGAGACTAGATGTTTGTCTAAGACTTGATAAATGTAAACAAAAGGGTGTTGGTCACATGTAAATTGAACACTATTTATTTGTAACAGCTAATGTTCTTAGTTGATAAAGTGCTGGTTAATCAAGTTTACACATTATCCTAGCTCCAAATGTGAGGAAACACCATAGTGTGTGAAATTTTGTGAATTTTGCATTGTTTATGTTTCAAACAAGTACAACTTTCTGAGCAGAGCGTTCTTTTTCAGATCTAATTTATGTCATGAACATAGAGATTTTCTTTTTATTCTTGAGTACAATGGGCAGAGTTAACAGTTACTGTTCCGTTTTAACCCGATGATGGGGCTAGAACAAGCCCTGAAACGTTGTACTTAAGAATAAAAAGATGATGTCACCCAGAAAAAAAAAAATCAATAAAAAAAAATCTCGATGTTCATCAGATAGCATCTTCTAAAATGCCAATCAAGCATCTAATTCATGTCAGTTAATTTTACATGACATTTTGTATCAGTTCAACAAACATTTGTCACTTTTTTTTCTAAAATAAACTGGGAATTTAGTTATGAATGTATTGCAGCTGAGTATGACGTTTACATGACAAACCTGCACTTTGTATCTGGTTTCTGTGAAACATTGATCATTTAGGAAAGACCATTTGTTTGAATGTTCCCTTCAGTGTTTGCATATTTTCTTCAACATTTTTAATCTGGAGGGGTATTGACATTTCTGAAAGATGATTTGATTAAAAACATGACGAGGGAATAATAATCTGCTATTTTTGTAATTAAATTTTCGGATATCTGACATGTAGGATGCGTAACGTATATGAAATTACATTCGAATGGTCAATTAGTGATGCAGAAAAAATGGTGAGATTAATGATTTACCTAATTTTCAAGTGTTGTTTTTGGTAATTTTGCTTTGCCTAAAATAGAAACAGCTGATATCACAGTAAAACGAATGTCATACTGAATTCAAAAGTGTGAAGTTTATTTTTGTTTGTGAAGTATTTTGAATTTTATTCTACTTCAAAGTGAGGGTTGAAGAGGAGCTCCATATTGTGTCTGTGTGGTATTCAGGGGTTAACTGTTATTGACATTCAGTGACATGTTCTTGGTGGTGTTGTGTTTACTTAGACTCAGTATTATTCATACACTGCTAT